AATCCTAATAATTTTATCGCTTTCCCAAAAAAAACCATACAGTACAGTTTTCGACAGTATCAATAAGGGATCATTACTTCTTAAACGATATTTAAATTTTACTTGAATTTCATTTGATTTTTATTCGAATGGTCAATAAAAGATAACTTCTTGACGTTTTCCGAAAGGAGTGGATTGCACGATTTTGCGTTAATCTGGTCCGGTTTTCCTGCTATTTAAATCGATTTCAGGATGAGAAACGCCCAAAAATCGTTCAGTTCTTGAACCTAGAGATTGTTTGGAACTCAGAAATGGAAGATAGAAAATCTTCGTTGAAAATTACAGATGATGTTTTCTGGATATATGCCCTATTTTCTAAAACTAGAAGAAATTTAACAAACCTTCAAAAAAGTAACTGTTGCATCAAGCTCCAGTAACCTCAAAACCTTAACCTGTTATCGTATTTATATTTATGCGAATTCGATCATGTTCCTGATGAATATAGAGTTTGAGTGGTATTTTTTGCATTTTAGTGTTATTCTTGAAAATTTAACAAGTCTGTATCTGTAGAGTAGGGAGGGTTAGTGTAGGCCGACATCACTTAGGCCACATGTGACCCATTGTACATCCTCCCGAGGAGTTATCCTCCTAGGTCATCGTCCATCCTGTCCTTTCCAGGAAGCTGGACAGGTCACTAAGAGACATCTTCCTTATATCGGCAGGTGTAGGCCAAGACTCGCCGAACACACACTCTCTAATTGACGATAACTCCGGACACTCGCATAAGTGCCTAACGGTTTCATCTTCCCTCATAGAGGTGTGTCCACTAGCTCCATTATATGCAGGTGTTTCCTTAGTTGACAGTGGCCAGTCAGAAATCCTACTGTTAAGCGTGGGTTTTTCCTGATAATCGCCAGATATTTCTTTGGCGCCAGCTTACCAGGGTCGCCCAGGGTGATCCTGGCAAGACTGCATGCATCCTTTGATTCCATCCCGTCTCTTTAGGGATTGAACATGGGTGTGACGTTTGGCTAGTTCCTCAATTGTCGAAGTCATCAGGCCGTAGGGTCCTAAATTTTCGCTAATAATTTTCAATAAATTATTGTTCCTGTGTTAATTGATTCAATTCCGGTTGAACAATATACCCGTACTTCTTGGCGATATTTTCATATTAATCATCTTCATATATTGAAGATTTTATTTGTTTACATGTAGTTGACAATGTGTTTGTTCTACTGAATAATGGAGGTTTCAAATGATCTGAAAGGATGTATACAATTGGATTATAGATACACATTGCAAGAACATAAAGCTGTGTAGGCATTTGCTAATCAATCTTTTTGTTTCCCTCTCTGCCTTTTCATTTTATTTTGCGAGCTTCCTTCTCCGAAGTGCCTCTTTCGTTTGTATTTTCAGGTCCTCACAGAGTTTCGTGACCAGAAAAAGAAATATAGTCTTCCTCTTCATCAGATTTCCTATAAAATTACCTCAGAAGCTGACCTTCACATCTGAGCTCCTGATTTATCTTTGATAGTTGGCATAGGAATCTTTTTGAGTCCCAAGTCAGTTAAGACTCTGAAGCATATTACTTAATTGCTGTTTAGCTGTATGATATACTTTAGGATCTTCCGCTTGGGAAACCACTTTGGAGGCATGTATTTTTTGCTTTATGAAAGTAGGTGAAGTTCTAATGGGTTTAGGGAACTTGCAGACGTAACTCCCATGCCAACCCTTTCAATCAACATGGAACCTTCATTTCACCATATAATGCGTTCTCATTTATCCATGGCTTGTTCTTGGGTTCTAGTCAAGTAAGATCCGGAATCTCAATGTGTACATATACTTACATATCTGCTTGCATGTTGGTTTTTTCCGCTACGCAGATCTGTAGAAGTGAAAGATTCAGCATTACTTCTGAAGCTATAGTGGTGCACGTACACCTATTTTGGAATATTTGCAATTTCCACAATTCACTGTACACAAGCTTCTTTTCTTGCAGTCCCAATAAGCTTTACCATTTATTTGATGACCACTAGATAATTCATTTCAGACTCCCACGTCTTCACACATACTTTCCGGCATGTCCTGGTTGCTGCTGTAGCTTTGGAGAATATTGGTCAATTTGTTTTCTTCTATCGTACGTTTATGGTAAAGAATATTGAGAGGGGTACAATTTCTAGAATTGGTACTTTAATCAGTCTAAGATCTGTTGCATTACTTAACTAAGTTGTAAGATTTTTCTAAACAGCTTCTTTGATCTTCCACTTTTAGTGGAGGGGATATTTATTTTACCATACCGGAAGTTTGCTCCCTCTGCTGTTTCCTGAAATGTTATTTCGATACACCAAAATGAAAGTATTTGGATTTACTGACATAAACATAACCTGTTATTAACGAAACCAAAACAAGTTGCACTCCCATCAAATAACAACCACTGAAGTGAATGAAGCGTTCCAGAAAGATTGTCCATTCTGAAAAATGAGTATATACGAAAGCTTCCCGACCGTTTTATTGATCGTTTACGTAGCCGCCAATTTACCTACTTCTCGGTCTTGGCGCAATTATTTTAATTCCTATAATCAAGTCGGCGAAACCGTATCAAGATTTGTTGACGGTTGCGCGCGCATAAGAACACGCGGTTTCCTAAACAATAGAGAACTAGTTTGCAGCGTTGCCACGTGTATGAAATTTTTTTGGTATCCCAGAAAGAGTCAGTCATGGATTTTTCAAAATTATTTTCTGAAGTTTCCTTAATCTTTCATAATTAGTATAAGAAGACAGTAACCCCAATTAGAATATCACGGAAGTTCCAAGTAATTCGGAGAAGTTATTAATTGTAATTATAGATGACAATAAATATGTTGCTGAATTGGAAAGGGATATATTTTTGGGAAAGATCAGTTTTCAAGCTTACCAAAAATGTTTTTCTCATGCTACAGAAATTCTAAAATACTATATTAAAGGTCAGTAGTTCATATTTTTTTAAAGTGAATAGTGAAAATTGCGTGGATAAGTCTTCCGTTTGCTTTAATTCCCGAAATCAGAATGTATCATTGAAAAATGCTACTAGCTCACTTTTAATGTTTATAATAAGAAGTACATCAGAGAAATGTGAAAGCACCACTTGTCGCCCGTTTTTTAACTTCATTTTAAAAGTAAATTCGTAAATTTATTCCAAACGCACAAAAAAATGAGTCGGATACCTCTGAAAAATAGTGAGATTTTCCTAATAGTGTCACAAAGAAACAATATTTCTGTTCAGCAATGATTGTGATTTCGATTTGAATATTTACTCTCCAGAGCACTGAATTACGATTGGGCCACAGTCGATTTATTACTAAAATAGAAACATTCTACATTGAAACTGGTAGTTCTTTCCCAGAAACAAAATGTTCTGTATTTGCCTTCCTTCGAATCATAAGGATATAATTTCACAAACTATCATGGAATTGGTTGCGGTGGTAGTGCGCCCGACTCACGATCGGAAGGTAGTGGGTTCGATTCCTGCCAGATATTTTTCTCGAGAGAATTTATCTGGTTGAAGCTGGGATGATTCTGCAACCGTGTTAGGAATCACACGTTGAAAGGTAAGACCCCGTTAGTCCTCAGCTCGCACAAGTTTCTCAACTTCTGAGAGTTGTCGTTCGTATGGGGGCGACAGCTGATTAACGGAAAAACAGATTTTAAGATTTTTTTAAGATCAATATAGTTAACAAAACTTTCAACATATATTCGAAGTGATTTCTTGAATTGACATAATTTTCTCATTCATGAACATATTTGAAAAATTCAAACGCTACGTGCGAACCGAAGCTTTTTACAACAGGTTTGTGAAAAGCGCACCAAAATCAGTTTCAACGATTTTAAGATTAGCGCGCATAACGCACACATAAACAGTCAGTGATCAGTTATTAGTTTTATGATCTGTATATTGATATTGATTGCTAACTTTATTGACTTGAATAGTTATAAAATAAAGTGAATACAATTTATTTTGTTCAATCAGAAAAAAACAGTTCAATCAAAGTAGTTCAATGTTCCTCAAAATTTGAATGGTGCCATAATTTTTAATCCTGAACCAATTTTCTCAGTAACATTTCGACATTTCGTAAACAAAAAGGAGGCATTACCCGAAAAAAAAAATAGTTTTCGCTTCACCGTCGAAGCCAACTTTATATCAAACACCTGATATATTCCTAAAATTCATTTCCCAACAAGCAATCGAACGTCTATTGAAAATTATAGGCCAATATCTATTATGTGTGTCCCCAAACTTGTCAACTTTCACTCACAAAGCATACGAGGCTTTCGATTCGATTCGATTCGTTGAGTCATTATGGGTTAACTGAAAATACTCTCAAATTGTTCAAAAGCTTTTTGGAAAACAGATATTACCTTGTAAAATATCATTGTTCGTATTCAAGAAAGTTTGAAGTTACCCCTGGAGTCCCACAGGGATCGAATTTAGGTCCCTTATTTTTTGTTCTTTCCATTAATGATCTGCCAGCAGTGCTCAGAGTGTCTTATGTTTGCTGATGACCTAAAAAATTATAAACAAGTACAAGCAGTTGAGGGATAGTGTAATGCCATAGAAAGATCTGGACAGGGTTGATGAGTGGAGTTGTGAGAATAAATTATTTTTTAATAATAATAAATGTTCTTTAAGGTCGGTTACGCGTAAGAAGGAACCTCTTCTCTTCATTTATGAACTGAATAGGGTTCCTTTTGTTTAATTACACCTATAAGGTCTAAAATCTGAAAATACAATTGAAAAATGTACAGTCCATCACTCCCCTTGTCGCATCATTCCTGGGACACCCTGTATATAATTATTGTAATGAAAAAGTATCTTCCACATCCTGAGGACTTCACGAAAGTAACACTGTATTTACCTCACCAAAATACTAACGTCTTCCCCCTGTAGAAAGCAGCTGTATCCACTCTACCGGTTATTGTTGACGATTTGGCAACGTTGCGCGGTCGGCAAACTGCCACTTGCCGCTCGGAGTGCGCCCTGTCGTTACGGAACACCTTTCGAAACCGAACCTACCATTAGAAACTACTTAGCGCCGGCAGAGTTCTTTGGAAGGCATGCGAAAGCGCGCGATTTGAATTTGTGGCGAATTTGTGAAAATGTCGCTTTTTCGCTCGGGTCGTGTTTTTGTGTGTTCAGTGATTTTTTTTCGTGGTGTCTAGGGTGTGTTTTTGATCTTCGGTCGAGTTACAGGGCTTCAAAGTGGACTTTCACTGAATAATTATATTTTTTGTGGGAATGAATACAAGTTTGCTGACGTGATTATACAGTAATCGGTAAAATCAAAAAGTAAATATTATTGCTTCTCTCTCTCTTTCTCTTGATTATGAATGATTGTATTCAGATTTTTCAACTACCACTGGCAATTTTCTATTCATTTCGAAGTCGTAAAATGATCATTTCAATATTAGTAGAAAACCTACCAAATTCACGAGCTCTAATATTATTCCAACATTTCAAAGTGCTAATATTGAAAATATCCAATCTATCATGATAAACATTTGACAGTTGAAAATTCATGAAATTCTACTAAAAACATTCCGGGTACACATAAAATAACTGAATTTGCTTCCAAATCTGAAAAATTTCATATTTTTCCAGCTGTGGATGGTTTGTGTTACCATCATTTCGCGATCTACCTTCAAATCAGGAATGCCTCATGGATCTATTTTAGATCCATCATTGCCTTCTTTAGTTATATGTCCTCTTTACCACTTCTCAACACTGCAAAATTACCAAGCAATCAGTAAACAAATTTTTCCTACTTTTCGTCCTGTAGAATATGTTGAATGATGTTTGATTATTGGAACAACTAAATACATATATTCTTCGAAAATATTCCCAAAAATACGTTGCCTAGTGCCTAGTTACAGATTCCTCCACCTAGTCTGTGGTTTTTGGTTTCGAAAAGTCTCGATGAAGCATACATTCATGTCCAAATTTGAGGAAATCATGAAGAAATTCCCAAAAATGTGTTTACATCCTATATTCTTACTCGTTGAAATGTAACATTTTATAATTATTTTCATAAAATAGTTATCAATGCAACCCATCTACATCAACATGTACCAGGTCTTACCAAATAAAATACTCGTATATTTCTCAAATTCATAAAATCCTTCCACAATTAATTCCTGCTGCTATAGTTTTTTAAACGTAGCTACATCTTCGTAGAATCAAGAAAAATGCAAATATTCTTCAACATATATTTTTGAAGGGTTGTTAACATTACTCGTATAATTTTGAATTTCCGTTTTCATAAAGTGATAACTCATAATGCCTCTTTGAAAAACATTTCGAATGCAGTTTTTTGCAGGATCTTTCCTTTTGATCCTAATTTTGTAACAAGAAAATATGAAATTTCAAAAGTAGGCGGAAATACGCAAATTGAAAATGGCAATGCAAACTCAGATTTACCAAGATCAATTTGAAATTATTCAATTTGTCCTGTCTTTGTTGGTAACTATGTAAATAATGAGATTCGGGTTTTTTGAATCTACTATCTAAGGAAATGGAATGATAAAGTTTTGTCTTCCTTCATATCCTCTGAGATAAACCACAGTAATAAAACCGCAACCAGACATATTTCTTATCGTCGATTCCGGAAATTTTGGTTTTTCCTTGAAAATATTGAGTTCCTTATATCAGGATAACATTTTTTGACTTCATTACTAAGATTCACCCAATTGATTTGTCAAAGGACATTCTGAATGAAGCTTTATGACAATTTTCCCAGGATATATATATTTTCAAGCTCTGACATACTTTTTGCGATACACCAGGGAAGCACATTTTTCAGCGCATTTTTCCATATTCACTTTATACTCCCAACTTATAAAAAAAATAAGAAATTGTGCTGATATTGCAATCTTCTGAACTTCGCACTTTGATAAAACCAAAACTATACATAAAATAATGTTACAATTGTGGCGTGTTTTTTGGTGTTGGCTCTCTTAGGCTCTTACATTGGAACGATTGGGCTTTTTTTTTAGTCAAAATTTAATAATTTCGGAAATAACTTTGCTGCCACACGCTTCATGTCCAAAATTTCCGAAAAAATTGCATGACATGAGCCAACCGATATGCCGACACCCTCAGCAACTTCTCTAACAGTGATTCGACGAATCTCCATAACAATTTTCTTCACTTTCTCAACATTTTCAGGGCAAGTGTTGTTATTCACATCTTCTAGACTTTCTGTGAAAAGCTTGTAACACTTTAAAGAATTTTTCAGACTCAGAGTACAATCACCATATGCCACTGTCAATATTTCAACGGTTTTTAGCACTCAAATCCATTTTTTACACAAAATTTGATATAAATTTATTGATCCATTTTTTTCGATACCAGAAAATCGCCGACACGCAAAATACTTCAAACTTTTATGCCTCTCACCAACATGCCAAACAGCTGAAACTGTAAACATATGTTCGAAACGGGTATACCAACATGAAAAAATAAAAAAAATCGCTAATTTGATGATTCACCCTATTTTTTGACCAGTCCACGTATATATATAATTAGATTTTGTACATACTATTAATCCGGGTCTTGATATTGGTCTTATAGGAAAGTTCACCTTTCAGATACGACGTCTATTGGAAATATTAGAACTATGAAGAACAGTAAAATAAAAACAAAGTTTTGTTAGGTGATTTTCATGAATCGTTATGGTTTCCTGTGCTTATAGCGAAAGTATTCTATTCTTCAGTTTCTTACGGCTGTAATAATCCCAACCAAAAACAAAACTCACAAATTGAACAACTGAAATCACGGTAAACCCCAAAACATCATGAAAACATCATGAAAACATGTGTTTCACGTTCAGCTGTTCGGATAAAGTCAATGAAAAATGTCGAAATTCCCATTCCCATTCTTCCTTCTGCTCAATTTTTTTATGTGGAATATCTCTTTACGAATAGTCCATCTATGGGATCTACAGAAGACTCAAATCATTGAATACCAAAGATGAACGAAGCTCCTCAAAGCGAGTAGTTAGCGCCTTTTGACACGTGGAACTTTACGTCTCTCGCTCCCGAGAAAGAGAGGAAGACTCTTAGCGCCAAAATGCAACGATTCTAATGGAGCTTTCAGACTAGGAGCAGGAGGCGCCAAATCTCGGGAGACGAGAGCTCTCACGTCTCGTGCATCTCAGCCGAGTAGCCACGTCTCCTTCTCAAAATGCAAGAGGATAACTGGGAGCTTCCACTTGAGGAGTGAAAACGACTCTTCCTAGTTGACGCTTCATACTATTTATCATGGCAGATTAGGATGTGGAGCTGTTAATTAGTGCTGTCTGTTTGTGTCAACGGTAAAGAACGTATATGGTAACAGCTCGCGTGCGATCCATTCTACGACTGACCTCAAGGTCACAGGAACTGAGAAGGCTCCCTGTGTGAATGGGCGGTAGGTAGGAGTGATAAACGCTCCCATATAGGAGCGAGAGACGTGAAGCTTCCCGTGTGAAAGAGTCCTTACAAAACCAAGCAGCTATGACGCTGAAAGAGATTTGCCTTCTGTCTTTCACTGCAAGGCAACCAGTGGAAACGAGCCCAAAACCATCGAATTCGTGATCCAACACCAGACAGCGCTGTTTCGACCCACTAGATATCTCATCAGCTGAACCACAAATGCATTCGAATGCGTGTATTAGTTTTTTGTTTTTACATTTTGTTTTTATACTTATGGTTGGTGTGGGCCCCTGTCATAGGATGTTCTCCTCTTCAGATGCGGGTTAGTTACTTGTCTTAGTTCTAAGTTAGTTGGTGTCAGTTTTTATGGCTGTGCTCGTCTTTGGGCTGATTCGTCTGGGTTCTGCTTATGTGAATTGGGCGTCCGCAGTATCCGGGTGGTTATCGTTGAGCTGGATCGTGTGATTTCCTCTATTGTTAATTAATTTCCGTGTCTCGTATGGGTCGTTGGCATGAGGTTGTGGGTTGGTGTTGTGTTAGTATGTTGGCAGGGGCTCGGGACGCCCGCTATCTGACAGCCAGAGGGTATTTTTCCAGGACTTCGGAGATTCGCTCCGATAGTTCCTCCGCTGCACCGAGTACCTAGTCGTGCTGAGAGAAACGGGAACTTTGTCTTCGGTGTCTTCCAGAGGTGTGGCTCCGGTCTCCAGGGAGCGTCTAGTGTCTTTATCGCAGAGTGGTTGGTGCTGCTGATGGTTCTCTTGGTATACTACTCCAAACGAGAAGGAATTGCTGTTTTGGTTATAATACTGATGTTGTTGCATAGGGAGTCGAATGAGTTTGTGTAGTGTAGGTTGGTATTGTTTCGTAGGATTTTTCTTCCTGTGATTAGTATGGAGTGGGTTTGTCTCGGGGTGATGGTGGTGTAGATCACAGCTTTATAGTCTATGATCGGTCTTATGAACGATTTATACGTGTGTGATAGAGTTTTTACAGCACATCCCCCGAACTTGCCCCTCAGAGCCTTTAGGTGACTCAGTCTCCCAATTAAGGGTACTCGAGAAGATGACCCCCAAGTAGGACACTGCATCCTGCAGCTGTAGTTCTTTTGCCTAAAGTCTAGAACGCATGTTGTTTGGTTGGAGTTCAGGGTTGTTGAAGGAATATGCATGTCTGGAGAGGACGGTGTGGGTATTGAATGAATGTAGCTTGATGCATAACTTGTTACACCATAGTGCAAAGTGGTCGATCATCGCTTGGACTTTGGTTTGTAGTAGGCGAATGTGTGGAGCAGATGTGTGAAGTATAGTGTCGTCAGCCTATTGTAGTATTCTCTAAGTACTACGTGCATCGTGAACGCATATGGAGAGTAGGGAAGGGGATAGGACAGAGCGTACAAATGCATTACTGGACTCAACTTTTATAAAGGACAATCCTGAGTAAGTAGAGGTAATACCACCTCCTCTTACGAAACCGCCATCTATAGGATCGACAGAGGACTAAATCCTCTTTTATATTTCGTATTTCAAGGATTGAGTATTCTGTCGATCCCATACTTACCCAATCTTGTCATACTATAATCGTCTTGAAACCACCACGTCATGCAGACTTCTAGCAAGGCACCTCTCCCTATAACCGACCGAAGTGAAAAAACATCCAAAAATCTTACAGATCACGAAAATGGTTGATTTGAAAAACGATCAAACCCCCTCTACGAAAAAGTCGCGCGGCATTTCAATGAACACGGTGAAAAACTGGCTAACCATGTCGGAGAAGAAAAACCCTCCTCAAGAAGATCAGCAGCCATTTCAGAAAATTCCTGAAAGTTTTTTGCGTTCCATCAGAAGGAGATCCTTGCGCCTGAAGAGGAGCAAGTCATTTTTTCTGAATGAGAAAAGGAAATCCGGTGAGTCTGATGATAATAATTTTCCTGTCGAATCTAAAGGCAATACTTGGTGATCATATGTAAAAAAGTATACTAACAAATTTTTGTGGATCGTAATAAGTTCATAAAAATGGTGAATGCATAACTCTTTGAAAATTACCATTCAAGTATTTTAACACTTTAAACGAAAAGAAATTTAGATATATCTTTGGGTAAAAGTTTAGATATCAGTGTGTTGTGGAAAGTGAGTCATCCAGTATCAAAACTAGATAACTCAATTTCAACAATTTTTTCAGTCGAAAAAAACTAATTAAATAGCTATTTTCTTTTTTTTTTAATCAAAAACTTTTGTGAGGTATAGTAATATTGTAGGCAATTCACAGCTCTCAAAAAAATTTATTGTGAAAATATATTTTTAATTTTAATTTTTTTTTGTTTCAACAAAACCATGTTGATATTTCTGGTTTTGCTACTTCGCCAAGAGATTTACTTGGTTTCGGAACAAAGCCATGTGATATATCTGGTAATGGAACTAACTAGACATTACCTAACTTAGCGTAACCTGTCTTTCCTTTTGTCTGGAAATTAAAAGAGAATGTTTGCCTCTAATTTTGTTTATACAAAATTTAAAACTTCATGCAGCTGCAGTTTCGTAAGAATGTATCATATTTCCCTTCAACAGATTTCCTGGAGTCTTTGAAGTCCACTAGACACTCGTTAGGACAACAAGAGAATTGTTCCGAATTCTTGTGGTTCTTGTTGAATACTCCTCGTGAACAAAGCAGTCTTGTGTTTGTAAATATTTTGCTGGAAAAATCCTCATTTGTTTACTTTGTAGTAAATGTTCAAGAGGTAGCAAAAACGAATGTGAATTTCTGGAATTTCAACTAGCGTTTCCTGATATGACTAATAACCAGTCCGTGCAAAACTTATTGTTGAATCATCTGAAAATGAAACTTTTCACATGTGTTGATCGACTGTTTTGCCAAAAATGCGCCAAACTAACTGACAGTTATAAGAAAACAAGTGAAGCTGAGGCAACAGTCTATCTAATAATAACACTGGTGATCTTCAAACATGACTCAACCTCTGACGGAAGCACCAAACTCTTACGAAGGTTCGAAATAGATGAACACTTCAATCTAGCAGACCACTATCATTTCAATATCTATTGTTTACTGTAATGTCACCTCGAATGAATCACTTCCTATGAATTTTGTTATAAAAAAGCATACGTTTGTGATGTCAATATCCATTGAAATTTTGATTTCATTTCGTGTTGTTCACTGGGATAAACTTTTCTTCGGGGCCTGGGCATTTACTTTCACTTCTTGAGATGCAGCTGCCTGTGAACGCTACTGCTTTCATTCTACCTAGATTTCAAGTCGTAAAACAGCTGTCTACTTTAACATCTTTCAAGTTAACAATAGCAAGTCCCCGAATTAGATCAAAAAATCCACCGAAACTGTTCGGTAACAATGAATAAATAAATGTGGTCGGTTTTGGCCTGAATCGTTTTCCTGGAGTCTTTGAAGTCCACTAGATACTCGTTAGGACAACAAGAGAATTGTTCCGAATTCTTGTGGTTCTTGTTGAATACTCCTCGTGAGCAAAACAGTCTTGTGTTTGTAAATATTTTGCTGGAAAAATCCTCACTTGTTTACTTTGTAGTAAATGTTCAAGAGGTAGCAAAAACGAATGTGAATTTTTGGAACTTCAACTAGCGTTTCCTGATATGACTAATAACCAGTCCGTACAAAACTTATTGTTAAATCATCTGAAAATGGAACTTTTCACATGTGTTGATCGACTGTTTTGCCAAAAATGCGCCAAACTAACTGACAGTTATAAGAAAACAAGTGAAGCTGAGGCAACAGTCAATCTAATAATAACACTGGTGATCTTCAAACATGACTCAACCTCTGACGGAAGCACCAAACTCTTACGAAGGTTCGAAATAGATGAATACTTCAATCTAGTAGACCACTATTATAAAATTCATGCGAACATTGTTCACTGTGGTTCTGGCGTTGAATTTGGTCATTTGGTCAAAGACGAAACGGACTGGTTTAAGTTTGACGATAGTCGTGTCACGAAGTGTTCGGGCGATGTATTGAATTTATTGTCGGCTCTGGAGACACCCTATATTGTGTTTTATTAAAGAGAGGATATTGGCAGATCAAGATCTTCAGATGATGTGGTGCTGCAGGTTTTTCCGGATTTTCCTGCAGCTGAAAAAGCAAATGCGCCACTGAAATCAATAAAGTCGCCCCGGAGCGCCAATTAATTTTTATTGTTGTTTTATAATTTCATGATTTGTATTTTGGAAGTGTAAATAAATAAAAAAATTAACATTCAGATAATATTCATGAACATGTACTATAAATACAGTTTTTAGCTTTTTCATTAGTATTCTCGGGTTTTGTTTGTGTGAGAATTATCTCAATAGTTTTAAAAGTTTTTGTGACATCATAAATATAACCGATTCTGAAAGAAATGAGAGGAATCGGTTACATGCATTGTTCAGCAATAATTTTGTAGATTTCGGAAACAGAAAAAGATTGATTTCCGAAACGTAAAAAATCGCAAAGAATATCAATTCTTCAGTTTTTTAAATTACACTGTTGTTTTTGAGGTGAACTTTTCAGTTTGCTCTTTATTGCTTCACATTTTATTGTGTCGAAACAACAACAAAAAACAACAAGAAAGATTTTTCCCTTAAAAAAAATCGACGATATCGACAGATTTTTTTCTTCAAAATATCAATTGTGAGAAATCAGCTTTGTAGAGTTTTCATTCGCCCCGTCCACAGAAACCTTAGTACACAGTAACATTGAGTATGTGGTGATATTACTATCTACAGACCTTCATAAACGCATATCAGTTTCATCGACTTTTGACTAACAAGTAGGTTGGATAAAGTAAAAGTCGATCCGTACTCTCTACTTTCTCTCAACATATATGTTTCTTCTGATAAGGTTAATTGAGGAAAGCGAAATACATCCACTTCCTTGTGTCCTTCTCAAAATCTTACAATGCTCTATACCGGAAGGAACATTTAGAATTATCCAGCACCATCGAAATATGTGAAATTAAACTATACCAGGTGACAAGGTAATCGGTTTATATTATTTATTCAGTTATGTCTGGGATGAGAAATTTGAAATTCGTAATAAAGGTATGGTTCTTTGGAGCTGCTATCTCGCATAAAAAAAGTTGAAAACCTATTTCTGTTTAAATAGAAATAATATCGTAATTCCTAATTTATGTTACTGGCTACCAGTATGTACCTGATATATAAATACGCCTGACTTTGACGTGAAAAGTTCTCATCATCATCTCTTGATGAGGCTAACTTGGTTAGCGAAACGCGCGTAGATAAACCGTCTTTTGTTCTGGTGTGGGAAAACCGTTAACTTCAGGTTCATTTCTTCCAATTACACCTCTTACATTATCAACGAAAGTGACCATTTTTTTTTCAAAATTGCGCCTTAGGAGCCATTTTCTCCAAATTCAATATGGCATACTATGAAGTCATCAAACAACTTGATCTAGAGACAAAATTCAACTTTTCATGAATTTTTAAAATACTACTCTCTAGCTCTGATAATTTCTGTAAGTTTCACTTCAAAATAAAGTATTCATGCATTAATTTCATTATCCAAATTTCAATTTTTTGAGTTGATCCGTTCAAAAAATAAAAGGGGATACATTAAAGAAATGCACTGTATACTGTTTCACGTGAAGTTACTGTTATTTTAATTTTTTTTATTTATTTTCGACGTTGAATTACAACATAAATAATGAAGGTGAAGTTTCGAAATTAGGGACTTTTTCATAATAAATTTTTTTATCTTTCACAATTTTTTACTTTTCAGTTTTCACTATTGATGGTTTTTGAGTTGTTTCCGAAAAACTGAACGCCTTTTTTTCATCCCAATTTGCAATTTTTTGTGTGCTGCAAAACCATCATAAACCGTATTTGTACACGTCATTATGAATCCAATGAGATACTGCTCATATTTTCAAAAGCTTCGTCTCTGGTGCAGACTTCACTAACGTCACTAATATAGAATACATTCTGATGTGACCTGAAATTCGAAGGGGTTAGAAGTAAAACTTTACAGACTCTGTATACGAGATGTTTTTCACCAATCAGCTCTGTATTTGTGTCAATTTCGGTAATGATCCAAAAATCAACTATACCCGACATAATTGAATCATTCGACACTTCCACGTGCCAGTTTTAAGCTATCAGATATCCACTACTGTTTATTTATTACAATTTTTTATTCTGAACATGTACCCCGAATATCCGTCACGTCATGAAAAAATGAAAATAAATTAACGAAATCCTAATCGTGAATTAGAATTAGTGAGTAGGGCGATCGCTTCCTTATAAATGATCCGTTAGTACGTTAATGGGAGTGTTTCTCTCGAGTTATTTTGGGAAGTGAACGCTTGATTCATGATTGTTTTGATGACGGAATCAAAATTCCGCTGGCAATTTTGTTTTATATAAATATCGACCCGAACTTTTTGGGATGTGATCATCAAAGTTGTTTTGATCATTAGTTTTGGTTCGTTTAATGTTAACGTCAGTTACATTAGTCAAGTTTTTATACATTCGCAGTATTTCGACAGAGGTGAAGCATATGTTGAAACTTCTGGAAAGATGATCAGCATCATTGAGGTAATTTCTCAGTTTCAAAGGAAATCAGTGCTTCAAAAAAATTGAAGAAATTCATAAAGTAAAATTATTACCTCCTCTGGTACCTCAAGAACCTTACTACCTAATATTATTATTGTCCATCTATAGTACAAGAGATATGATTCAGACATTCATGTGCCATTTATACTGTACACAAAGGTTCTGTGATAAAAAAAACGACATCATTTCATATAATTACTAGCTGACCCGTCAAACGTTGTTTTACCACATATATTATGTCTAGGGTGAAAAATTACAGTTTATTACTCATTATAAGTGTGTGTCAGAACACTTACAAATTATATTAATC